TCTTGAGAAATGTCCAACATTGTATGGGGAGGGAGGCGGAGGGGCTGAGCAAGTGTAGTTGAATTCACGCGTGACTGTTTGTTTGGCGCGTGTGAAAAAGCGCCACAAGTGCAAATTTGTCTCAAGACTTTTGTCCATGATTGCAGGCCACGGATTATCTATACTGCACAAGCCTACATTTACATAAACACTTTTCCCACTACTTTTACTTCACAAATGGTTAAAAATCACGAGGTAAGGACATATTTTTCAACAAACGCGATTGTCTCTCTGTGTCATGCACCGCCATAAGCTGCCGGCATAAGCTCAAGATGCACTGGTTTCCAAACGGAGGACGCTATTGAGCTGAAACGTTGGCAACAAATATACATTTCGCACTTCTTATGCCTGAAGAGGATAAAAATAGAACTTATTGACGTCATGTGAAAACGATCTACTCGTCTTAGACAAAGGGTCAAAGGCGGGACATTGAGGTTTCCAAACAAGAAAACATGATTACATGGCTGTACGATTAAAATGTAACTTCTTGCCCAGGCCGCTTATCCCTTCATAAGCGCCCCGGGTACGAGGTTGAAATTATCCCGACAGCATAGACTTGGTGCTGAGTCAAATGGTTTGTACTGGTTAACACTGGCAACAGTTTCCTGCGCTTTCTAGCGGTTATCGACTGTGGTAGTATTGACCTGTCAAAGCTTAAGTATAACGGCTGGAAAGTGCTCGAAAATGTCACCAGCCACCTTAAAAACCTTCCAGAGGATCTTCACTCGTCACTCAAAGTAGTACGTGCGTATTTCAGGGACCAGTTGACCAGTTGTTTTCTTTTCGAGGTTGCTAAGCAACTGTCACTGCAATGATGACGAGACAACTTTTAGGGTACTCTCCAGTGCTCGCACTTTTCTTTAATTAGATGATATGACTTTGCAAGTTCTTCATCAAAGTTCTTCATCAAACTTTGCAAGTGCTTCATCAAAGATTTGTCGAAAACATAACTAGTCTTCCCGATTGTAACGGGGTGCTAAAAGGAAAAAATCCTCTCTCGCGTCTGACTGTAACAACAGAACTGCGCGCACAATACGCTTGCGCTCGAGAACGAAAATTCGCTGACGTCAAACATTTTAATATATAGACACAGCACAAAAATGTCACGCGAAAAAAAGGCCAATTTATTAAACCAGACTGCCGATAGATGATCTAGTAAATTGGCGCTCGCACCGATTTAGCTATATAATAAATTGTTATAAAGCTCCAGAACAAACAATTTGTCTTAGCGATTGTTTCTCAGTCACGTGATAATGACCGAGTTGTGATTCGCGTGGCAGAATACAAGAAACTTTGGTAGGAATTTAACCTCGCTGAAAGCTTGCTGTTTTTATTTTATTTTTTCTTTGCTTCTATAAACCAAGAGGAAGTTGACTTTTTGTTACTGAGTATCTCGTTGTTTGGAGTATAGAATAAACCAGGGAAACAGAAAGAATCGACGAGAAGAAATCACCCAGCCTCTCATAAATATGTCACACGTTGATACGCAATAACAATATATAATCGCACTCCAATAATGTTTTAAACAGACTGATTTGGGGGAATTGATATTACTCAGAAGCACATATATTTTTTTGCGGGTCTCCTTTGAGAGTTTCCGGCTCTCGAAACAGAAATCCAGCAAATACATGCAAGGAAGTAACCTTGTTTAATATCGTTTGAGCAAACTTGAATCCGCGAATATTAATATATCGCGTTAGCAGTGTCAAGGTTGTGGCTGGCAAACTATTCGAATTTATCAGAAAATTAACTTGTTTTTCTTATCTCAGTCTCACATAAGACGGTGTTTGTTTTCCGCGCGGACCGATCAAAAGCCTGCGAGACGCCATTAAACTTCTTTATAAAGAAGGAAAAACGAAAAACTCTGCTGTATAATAAAGCTTATTTGTTAGAAAACTGGCAATGTTGCTACTGTTTCCCTTGTTCTTTCAATACCATCAATCAAAACCGTTACGAAAAGGAAGCGAGGTATCAGAAACAAGGAGTGCTCCCGACATATTGTGGTAATATTGGAAAGCGGCTCAGAAACGATTTAATATCTGTAAAACAATTGATCCATCAGGAATCGTGGCATTTTATTCTTCGTTCACTGATTCACTATTCTGTTTTTAATTTAAAATTCATTACTGGGTCTAATGCTGAAGCCCCTGAGCGCTTTTAAACCAGCCTACATTCTTTGCCTTGCTTTCAGTTTCCCTGGGTGAAACTGACTTTATGTATTTCAAGTCAAATAACAGAAACGACATTGAGCATAATCGTGCGAATACACGTGAACCCAAAACATTTGAAATAGTTTGTATATTTACGGCAGACAGTCAAATTTGAATATTCCACGGAACTTTTTCTTGTCACTGAACATTTCGTTCTAGCTCTTCAAGTTTGGCATAATTATCTTAACCGCTTACAACGTGTTTTCGCTTTCTTACGTGTAATGTTGCTGTCGGCCTTCAATTTCGAATAGAAAGCTTCAAGTACGACGATTATAAACTTTTGAAATCTTTTCATGAGGAACGAAAACGAATCGACTTTTCGGTTGACCTAACATATTGAAGGCTTGGAATTCTTTAACAGTTTTATCCGTATTTACCAAGGTCATATCTAGCGAGAAAAACCTTCAATGGATCATGTTTACCTGGCGACAGTCAACTGTCTTTCGCAGTTAAAACCACTAGCCATTCCACTTACAAAAATAATCACAAGTAAAGTCCCGAGAATGAAAACAAATTATCATTATTTCAACGCTCAGTAGGCCCTGCTAGCTAGCGGCGAGATTTTTGCCGCGGGAGGTATGTCGGCGTTTATTTTTCGCACTGATAGACTTTCTCTCGAAGACGTATTCAGCTTAGAAAAACCCTTTTTTGTTAACCGCGCAACCATTGTAAACTTGAATTATCACTGAAGTTTTTCCTTGAAAACGAAGTCGATTTTTCAATGTCAAAGGTTCAACGACAGGCTAGAGTAATTAAAATTCTTCTTTTTCGAGACGCTAGCTAAAAAAAGGAAAACAATTGAGCAATGGCGTTAAACTATATACAATAGGTTTTTACCAGAGACAACTTTTTCGCTCGTGTGCTTGAAGCTGTAATTCGAAAACCCAGTTTCATCAAGAAAAAGAAAAAAGAAGCTAAGAGCTAAGGGCGGAATTATTTGTTTTATCATCTTCTGTCCAATGTTGCAAATTATTTTCTTTGCGGTTTTGTTTTAATCTGAATAATCGTCGCCCAGGTTAAATTTCAGGCTCAACTTCCCGTTTTCAACCCACGAGAAATTGGAAAAGTCCAGTTGCGTGATAAGTACATTTTCGCTTTCTCGTCTCATCGGAAAAAGCTGAAAGGTCCATCAGAGCAGGTATTTCACTATATTTTATTTTGATTTAAATTCAACCATTATTCAAATAATTGCTCCAGCGTTTAGAAGATTCCAGGCGGTTTGCATAACAATAACTTTAATCACGTGTTTTTTTTGTTCGCTGGTAAATGATTGACACATCGTACGTATCGGATGAACAATTTTTTTGCATTTCTGCGTGGAGCGGCCTTGCACAACGGTAAAGTTCTTAACTCCAGTTTTTCTTGCTAGTTCTCTCGACAACGTTTAAAACTCTTGATGAACGTTAAGCGGTGTTAAATTTTCTTCCCGTTTCGTGTCCCCGAGTTTGAAATTTCGATTTTTTTCCGGCGAATTGAAAAGTGGGTTGTGTTTTCTATATTAGCACACAGTTCCAGATTGGCCGGCAGTTCAGTTTTCATCGAGGTCTTTTCTTTTTACGCGCTTGTTTGTTTTTCAAGGAGATTAACATCGTACTAACTCGCTTGCTGTTGATTCCCTTTATTATAGACGAGATTTCAAGGAGCAGAAACTGGCGACATGTCCACAGAAGATAAAACAAAGCACAATGGAATTGAAGAACCAAAGAAGCAAAACAAGTCTTCGCATGGAAACGAGGTCAAGTATTTCACGCACCGCAACGCAACCATTTCGGTTTTTTTCCGCATTAAAACTTCGCAAGAAACATTTCAGCTTCGAGTAACAACTGGGAAAAATCTTAACAATCCTTTATCAACATACAGTTTGTATTTCAACGAGATATTTGACGTGCAAAAGGCCGTTTTTCGGAAACGGAACAGAGTGAACCCAAAGGTTATTGAATATTCAAACATTGAAACAGTTGAAGCGTGTAGTCGGCAAGCATCGACGGAAGTCGCTATTTTAATCGCTTAAAAGCTCTTTGCTCCGTTGGAAATTTACGTTAACGTCTCGATGGATCTCGTTAGGTTTTGTTTGAGAGTGATATGACTAAGCTTTTTTCGATTTTCCTGTTACAAATACGTTCTACCTCGCGGTTGGCTCCAAAAATAGCTTTTAAGTTATGAATTGATTTCATGACATTATAATGCCATCTTAGCTACTTTTGTTTGTTTTTGCGTCTTCGGCCATCGCTGAATGTGGAAAGTTCAAAAGGTTCGTTTTCTTTTCAGTTTTCATAGTACGTTTCGATCTTTCTACCAATTCGAAAGTAACACCACCAGTGCTTTTCCGTTTCTTCTCTAAAGCGGATTTGTTTTCATACTTCACACCGAGATGCTTATGACAAGGACAAAAGACGTCGACCTCTTGTTTCAGGGGTCGCGCATTATGGCAGTTTCTTTGAAAGCGTTGCTGTCATTTATTTTTCTTTTCGTCTGATCATGCCAACGGGTAAATTGTTCAAAGTCCGTAATTTGCGTCATAATATAATTTCAAGCACTGGCAGTCACTCTGTTACTAGTCTAGAAAGCGGAGTACGGACACCGCCTTCTCTTTCAGTCTATGTCCAATTAACCAAAACGGCCTTTTTTCTTTCAATTTCCTACACCTACACCTACATGCTTTAGAATTCAACCGGTTGTTTAAACAACCTATTGATCAACTTCAATTTTAGAGTTCTGGTCGCTCGTTAAAAATATCGTGTCTGGAATCGATATTCAGTTAGAATGCGTTAATAATTACTAAAAATTACTTTTTTTAACAAGGAAACTGTATTTTATTCCTCAGTGAGATGATACTGATTTTTTTTTTTTCTGGCGAACATTAAAATTAATGTTGCCTGTCAAATTAATTGATATATTCTGTTTTCGTGCTAGAGTAATTAAAACAGAGAGATACAATAAAACAAAAAAGCTTCGAAAAAAATTAGATAAACAATTTTTTTTCTCTTTTTTTGAGGTCCGTCAGATTTATTAGGCGTCGGATAGTCAAAAGGTGTCTATAAAAACAGGGAGGAACTCCTATTTTATCAAGATCTAGAAATACTTCTACAAAATGTACTCTTGTTCAGGCTTATCTGAACATGTGGATATGCGAGTCGCTAATTCAAGATGATTTTATCTGCAAGCTGAACTTATGTTTCATTTACACGCTTTAAAGGTCAATCTCGCCCACAGACATCCAAGCTGTTGTTATTTCTGAAAATTTATATCTTTCGTCACGCAATTCACGTCTGTACTCATTTAATCCTCGTCTGGGCTTAAATTTCCCAGCAATTACGCACAATCGACGGGAAAAAAAGTATGATTTTCGAAATCGTTTTTCTTTGTTTCTTTTTTTGTTTGTTTGTTTTTTTCAAATGATGTTCTGAACAAATGAGGAAGGCAATAGTTTATTTTTGTTGCTTTTCGTAAAATTATTTCCGCTTTCAGTGCTACTAGCCAGCTGTAAAACTTTCAAGATAGGGCGTACAGTTTCAGCTTCAGTTCAAAACAGGGCATTGCCAAAAGTGCTGATTGAAGAGGGGAAAGATAAAGATAAACTATGCTGTACATTAGCAGGACAATTTAAGAGAGTAAAAGTGACTGAGACTCGGCGGTTTCATTAATAGTTTCGCTTTATTAGTATCGGCAAACTTAAATGGCTTTCAGTATCCCACAAACAAAAAAAGTTGATGCTTTAAAAAACACAACGCTTCAGTATCCCACGTCCGGCACAGCCCAAGTGCCGCAACTGCAGATCTAAAATCTGAGTAGGGGGTTAAGCACTACCATTATCGAGAGCTAACAATAAATAAATTAATAAAAAAAAATAAAAGTAAAAATAAAATTAAAATATTAAAATAACATATTCAGAACTTACCGTAAACAGGCTAAGCTGAGCGTTATTTTGTCTAAACGGAGTGCTTTTCAGGCTAACCAGTGTTATTCCGGTTTACCCCCTTACTTCTCCCTCTAGTAGATCAGAATAGGGTGGTAACACGCTTGGTACAGGGCAAGAATCTGAGAGA